ATGATGGTATTTTTGCCAAAGGAACTCTGAGTAGAATATTATCAGTAGAATGTAGTTCTCATGTATGTGTTGCCCATAGAATTTTTTAATATAAACTTTCAGTATCGACATTAAAAATCACCAAATTAGAGAACAAATACGAAGGTCACTCCAAAGGTTTTGAGAAGGAGCAACAATGAGTTATTCAGCAACAATGAAAATGTTTCCATTGTTAGGTGGAACTTTGAGTAAGAATCTCACGCAAGTTTGAACATGCTCGGGTAATTTATTAACTCAGAAGGGCTATTTGTGTTCTATTAGTTGTTGTTCCTCTGCCAGTAACGATGGACCTAAAGAGAGAGCATTTCAGAGCTATGAGTTTGTATGACTTTAAGATTGGTTTAGATAAGAAATCATGCCTTGAGAGATTACAGCGTGCGTTTGGCAATGGTTGCCCTTCACAAGCCACTGTCTATCGATGGTTTGCCAAATTCAAGAGGGGAAGGGACTCTCTGGAAGATGAAGACCGTTCTGGCAGGCCCAACGCAGCAACAACGGATGAAACTATGCTGAAAGTGGAACATTTGCTAAGGGAAGACCCTTGTTGTACATATGCTCAGATTCAGGAAGCTTTAAATATTGGATCAGCAGCAGTGAGACAGATCCTGAAAGAAAAGCTTTACGTTAGGAAGCTATGCTGTCACCTGATCCCTCACAATCTGTCAACTGAACAAAAAAGGGCACGAGTGGATTGGTGTCGTGAGACCCTGGATAAGTTCAATGGAGGAAGATCAAAAAACATTTTTAACATCGTGACGGATGATGAAAGCTGGATTTATCAATTTGATCCAGAAATGAAACAGCAGTCATCAATGTGGGTCTTCCCAGATGAAAATCCTTCAACGAAAGTGAGAAAACCCAGAAGTGTTGGCAAAATGATGATTTGTTCTTTCTTCTCTGCAGTGCCATTTGAGGAACAAAAGACAGTTACTGCAAGATTGTACTCTACAATTTGCTTGCTCAGATTGTTTGAAGAGCTGAGAGAGACCCATCCAAAATCAGGTTTGCGTGGAATCCTGCTCCACCATGACGACGCCTCATCCCACACTGCCAGAGCAACAACTGAATTTCTGAGAGAATCAAGGGTTAAAACACTGTCTCATCCACCCTACAGTTCAGACCTGGCCCCCATGTGACTTTTTTCTTTTCCCTTATGTGAAAGAAAAAATTCAAGGTCATTGTTTCGAGTCGGCTCAGGCTGCAGTGACTGCATATGAAGATCAGATTCGCAGTATCTCTAAAGAAGTGTGGCGATCATCATTTGATAATTGGTTTAATCGGATGAAACATTGTATAGTGTGTTGTAGAGAGTACTTCGAGAAGATGTGAAGGTAAGAACTTGTTATCTCGATTTTAAATATAGTAATCTCAAAACTTTTGAAGTGACCCTCATATCTCTATAAGACTTCCAAAGAGCTCATTTTCAGACTAGTAGCTAATTGTTTATTACAATGGTTATGTCAAGGATATGGTAATCTATGTTAATAAGCGGGGGGGGGGGAAGTATCTGATAATTAGGTTACCAGATTTGAGATCCATATAGCAACATATGCCTCGCCCATGTAATATATAAAATTTCAATAGTTAAAATGCTATTGAAGTTGCAGAACAAACATTTCACAAACCCTATATTTTTATTTGATTTATTCACTGTATCATCAATATGTTGAATAAATCTCCTTTTACTGTCAAATATCACCTCTAGTACCAAAACCAAGAATCTGCTTCAAAATCAAAAGAAATGGAATTTTTTTGTTGTGTAAGAATAGTTTTACATTTACCCATATTCAGTCTCGATTCCATGGATATGTGTACCGTTGTCATTTATACCTTTGTGATAACTTATCAAGATCAAATTGAAAATTAATACATTCATTTAAATTACTAATAATTGTACGAAACAGCTAATTTTTAGTTACGATTGATTCCATCAATTTAGCAATTGTACAAAATTTAGAAATAGGTTTATAATTGATACTATCTGAGTGATTATCCTTATTATATATTGTAGTTACAAAACTGGTTTTCTACATCCCAGGTAGGACTCTCTCAAATACCACCCTCAAATCCCGAAACCTATGTGCTTCCAGCACGTTACATCCCACTTTACAATAAAACAATTGGATTTTTTGAGGTCATTGATACACAAAATATAATACCATAAGCTTGCTTAAATTTCCAACAATTGTGCATAAATTATAAATATTCATGTAGTTTTGGATGTGACATTATTTAAATATAAATTATAATATTGTTATTAAAGGTAGTAGTTTATGTATTATATTACAATTACAAGTTCATTATTATTATTATTGTTATTATTATTATTATTAACCTACATTATGCCTGAGAAAATACTCTTCCTTTCAGTGAAAGATCAGTTAAGCCATTTTCTAGATAGTCCCAGACTGACTCAACAGTTATAAAATCTATTTCAAAATAGAGAAAATTACATTTTCCAATAATCGTTTACCAAATAAGCAGAATAAATGTTTGTCTGACGTATAGAGTTGCCACCCCTTCAGATTTGACCTGGAAATTCTGGATTTGTAATATAAATTGTTTTCTTCGGCTATTAGTATTATTGCAAAATTTAAATTCAATAATTACTTTCTTCATATTGTAAATTCATTCTCTTCAAACTCTTATAGTAAATTATATTTTTTTCTACTCCCTATTTACTCATTTTTTGTACCACAAAACTCTCTATTAGAGTATGTTTAACATCTAGCGCTGAGAGGCCTGTTATCTTAAATGGGTTCAGATTAATCGCTTCAAGTTATTATTTTATGGTGCTTACGAAACCTATTTCACATCAGTCTAATGAGATTTAAAGGACTGTTTCCAGCCTAAGTAGATTTAGTACATTGAATTAAATAGAAATTCTTATTCGCTATTGCGTAGACACCATAAAAACATAATTGTATCTCTCTAACGATGTAAAGTAAACAAAAAGAAAAATACTTTTGTTTTTCGGTTACACTAAATGTCTCTATATGTAGTATGTTGTATTAATTGTTTATGCCATAAGTTACGGTCTCTGTCAAAAAAAGATTTAATCACATATGCATATATACATTAATTTCGCATATTTGTTCAAATTTTGACTGAACTCATCTTTTGTGTTCCCATGGCTTCAAAAGTAATCAGTCTAGCAGTTTTATTCCCTGCCTGTTGAAAAAATAAATAATTAACCGTTACAAAATTTTGAATTTCACACCAGTCAAGTTCATGATCAAAACAAGCGTAATATAACAACATAATAACATATCTTGAGAACATTTGTTCAAACTTTTTCTCTAATTACTTGATTCATCCATGTTAAAAATTCTCAAGGTGAGGAACTATCGGCTGGTGGCAACTCTTCTTGCCTACCTCAACTAAATGGGTATTATGTAGGTTTTTCTTTATTAATTTATTTAACACAGTTCTTTCAATCAACAGAAACAATTTTATTCATGAACAGTTGTACTGGAGATCAGTATCCAACTTATTATATCACCTTTGCGTACATCTTTCGTATCCAAAACTACTGATGCACACACTTAGCATCCAAATAGTCAGCCTCAGCTTATGAAAATTCTGAGATTCAAACGTATCTTTCACTTCAATAAAAATAAAGTCAAAGACATTTGACAATGTCTCAAACCTAGAAAATAAGTGAATGCCATCACCCACTAACAAAAACAGCAGATGTGCTGAACTCACTACCAGTTACAAGGTTGAAGATGATAACAATGATCCTCCGAGGAGATCGTCAGACTCAACGTCCTCGCAGTACAACTCAGTGAAGAAAACTGCATTTTACAGCAATTAAATTTAATATTTTTATTTACTTACTTGTTCGGTTGGTTGTGAAAACCTGCTTGCTTCAAATATCTCTCATTGTCCTCTGCAAAATGCATCATAGTGTATCTTGCTTTACTCAATGTAAGAGTGGTCTTGCAAGTGCCTAGTTTTAAGACTGGCACTTGCAAGTCTTTACCTCTCAGTCAAGACCTCTAGTACCCAAGGCAAACTAATAACTTTTTAAACTTTTAACAATTGGAATGGTAGCGGGCAGAGTGTAAATAATGAACTTTCATGCCATAAATATATTTCTGTCCTTTGTGATTGTCTTTTAGGAAATGAAAATTAAATACTAAAAAAATTGAGTTACTGCCAATTGCATGTGAAAGTTATTTTTAAAACAAAATATTGTTGTGAGTAAAATCATATTTTTAAAATTAAATATTTTGAAATCTTTTAAAGACAAATTTTGGTTTTGCGAAAATTATTATGCATCAAGTTGTACATATTGTTTCAAATTTTTTAAATTTCCCTTTTTGATGAAAACAACTAATCAAAAAACAAAAATGTTTGAAGTGATGATTACTTGTTACCATGCTCACCTTTGTACCAATGCTTTATGAACAAAATTATGGGTAATTGTTCAGTAAATTGTAATTGTTGTAAATGCAGTAAATACATGCTTGCAAGTTTGTTTTAATGTTAATAATGGTTCTCATTTCTGCATTAATGGTACTGAAAACTAATTTGGTTAACCATTTGATACATTTAACTTGTTTATAATGCTTTGGTCTGATACCGTTTTTTAGTTATTTGAAGCCGTTTCATTTTTTCATCACATACTGTTTCATTTTTTAATATCTTGATGGAATAGCCAAATGAGATTTGAGTCCAGTTTTCCAGGGAGAATTTGCTCAGGAAAAAAATTAAATTCTCAACAAACAATAATAATAGTTTTTAACATAGACTACTTATAGTGCAAGAGCAATCTCTTGAGTTGAATCTTGTAAGAAGTTTTGCAAATTTGGTATGATGTCTGAATTGAGCACACAATTATGGAATGTTCTTTGTATCAAATACTTTTTGAGATTAAAGAATAGAAATTGCAAATCATGATGAATTACATGAATTTATATTAATAAAATTTATTTTGTTATTTATTCTTGTTTCAGGACATCAAGATTTCAAGAAGTATGGAAGAATTTTGTAAGAAAAATATGAAACATTGGTGAATGTTATGTGTTTGTTATATAAACTATCCAATGATGTTGAATTTGTGGAAAATTTATGATTGAAAAGTTCTAGCAACAATATACCACTTTCTACTTGCTTCTCATGGGTTTCTTCAGTGACAGAAAAGATGAATACCAGTTGATTTGTAAAAGGCTGCTTCATTAAGTGGAATTTTTCTGAATGTGTTAGTAGAAAGTACCAGTACTTTTGTAAAGTATTTCTACATGTAATTGGTTATGTAGTTCTAATATTTCATTTTTAACTCTTACATTAAAAACTTGAACTCAAATTGTTTATGATCTTTTATTCTCGTGTGTGTGTGTGTCTGTGTGTGTACTCTTATCTTCACCCTGAGAACAATTTTGAATTTTATTTTTATTCCTTAAATAAGAAAAAAATGTTGCTTTCATAATTCTTGGAAAATTATTTATCTTCTGGAGGAGACATAAGGTTTTAATGACAAGTTAGCATTTTTAATATGACCCCAAACAATAATGAGAAAAACAATCAGAAGATTAGAAAAGGATTATCTTGTAAAGAGAGTAAACAGGTTTTAACGTCTGATAAAACGACTTTAATCAAATTCTTGTGTGTAAAGATACACATTGCTGACAGAGCATCTTACTGTAGCTGAGATAGTCATGCATGTAAGCATTCTGCATCTGTTTCTTGAAGCTGGTGTTGGTATTTAAGGTAGGTGCGAAGCACCCTTTGCTTCTAAGTATACAGATGGAAGTTGCATTTTGCTGTTTTCTTGGAGGAGCTTCACTTGGTTCATACACTGATAAACTATCATCATATGGGAATAGCATGTCCAATTTGAAAGCCAAGAACATTCATGGCCTTTTGATGTCTCCTGCACTCTATCCATTTGCTGCAATTGCAAGGTACTTATGGGATCACACATAGAATGTATGATAAGATCCTAAGAACCCTGTGGAAACCCTTGGGTGCTCAATTGACAATTTCTGTGGTCTCACGCTTCGGCCTACTTGTCTTGGGTGTGGAGTTGCAGGTGAAGTAGATGCAGATTTTGATTTTCCAGATATTTCTAAATTCGAGACCTCCGGTGTGGAGGTTGAAAATTCCACAGGTGAAGTGTGTTATGTTCTAGTACATGTTGAAGTAAAAGGGGTATCGCATTCTAAGCCTTGGAGGGATGAAAAATCAATGTCTTCCATCCGTTGTAGAACAATGAGCAGTCAGAGGTGTCCCTAATTATCTAGTCTACAGAATCTCTACAGTAGTGAGAATCTTCTTAAGAACATTGTTTTAGAAAGACATGTTGATTCTAAACAATTGAAATTCATTCACATTATAATACTAGCTTACAATGTAACGTCTCTACCAGGAGGCACTACCAAAAACCATTATTACCAGGAAAATAATTTTAAGCCTAGACTCTGCAATAAAAGAAAATGATTTAAGAAGACTAAACACTAAACATTATCTTCACATGTCGTAATGAACCAAAAATATTATATTACCCACACGCATCTGCATAATACCATCATGCTTAAAATGCGCCAAGTTCTCATGAATTTTCACCCTTTGGAAAGCACTAAATGTGAAAGGACAAATGATATAATAGTTCCACCTGTAGACATTGGGAACTAAAATTAAAAGTTAAAACTTAGAGCAGGGACTTTTCGGTGGCAATTCACATTTGATACATGAGTCATCTTCAGGAGGTGCCTGGACTGAGAAGGGTATGCAAGCAGTCTGCAGTAGCAGAAATGCTGCTGAATAAAAACCACACAAAAGGTTTTTCAAAAAGTAGTAGGCACACTGCTCAAGAACAACAAAAAATATTCTCTTATAACACTGCAATAAATTAAATATTTTAACAAAGTCTTCACGAATACTGAAATTACATGGTAGTATATACAGTACAACAGTTCTTTACATTCCAGGAATATAAAGAAGTAGCTGTTTTGTAATGTACTACATAAATAGCAAACATTTAATGTCATGCAATCTCCTCTCATTATGTCAGATAAGGCTGCAGCAGTGACGGACAGAGATACGAGAAATATTATGGTGTATGGTTGGGAAAAATAAATCAAATATTTGCATTTTCAGTCGAAATCTAAATGGCTTAATTGTTTTTTTGGGTTTTTCTAAGTTCCAGAGAATATGAGAACACCGTACATACCTCTCACATGTCCGGAGGTTGCATAGTTTTCTTCCAATTACTGTGCACATCGGAGATTATTATATTCGCAACCATTGCAAGTGGGGGAAGTGCGGCGAGGGGCATGAGGGGCGGCGCGGAGTGGGGTTTGGGGGGACGAGGGCTGCCACCGAGGCAGACTAAAGGAGTGGGGTCCGGCAAGTGAAGAAGCGGTCGGCGAGACGGTCGATGCCTGGATCTACCTCTGCGCGCCATCGGCTTCGTCTGCGAGGTGCCGCCCGCGCCCACCCAGTCGCTTCGCATCGAGATGTGACGCCGCACCCTCGACACATCCTCCGCGGCCTCTACCCAGTCGCTACCCACCGAGTCGGGGAGACCTGTAGTGCTGACCCTGCCGTCGCGTTACCCTAAGGGCGCCTTCCCACGTCGCCACGGCGTTCGCGCTTCCTTCAAGCAGCAGAGCCCTTCCGACGCCGCCACCGCTGCGGCCACGGCCGCACCGCCGGCCGCCGTGGAAGGGGGTGGGTTCTAGGTTTCGCCGACCCTCCGGCGACGTCGAACAGAGGGACCGCAGCAGGTAAAACGCAGCGACCGGCGGCGCAGTGGGAAGGCTCTCCACTTCGCGTAGCTAGAGTTCTCCGCCGCTTGCCGCAGCAGCGCCCGCCCGCCGCACGTGCGAAGGTCTCCATTCAAACCAATGCTCTGCTACAAGCCCCCGCGCTCGGAAGCGCACCGCCGACGCGACGTGGGAAGGGGCCCTCGGCGCAGCATTCGAACCGCGCCTGAAGCGAGGAGACGCTGCGTGACGCCTACCTGGGCGCCACTTCACCCAGACGCGCCCGTGACAGTGCCAGTCGAGACTCCGACCGCCGCCGCGTCACCAGGGTCCTTGACCGTGGCCGCCCTCCCGACTGCGACCGTACCAGATGCCGGGCAAAGGAGACCTTGAATCAATCAAGCATGGTCTTGTTGATTTGTTGTTGTTTTTCTGGTTGGGTAGTTGGTTTTGGGAAAATAAATGTGCGTTGCTTTCTTTTTTTTAAAAAAAAGTAAAGCATTCAGCCTGGACTTCATTTCAATTTGAAGGGTGACTTTCAGCAGGAGCAGCACCCGCATCTCATTCTTAGCCGGGAGCGGGAAAACAAAATAAATGTGTGCGCTCACTCCAGGTTGCGGGAGTGACGTCACAAAATATATTGTTACGCCCCCACTCCGTCCCGGGATCGTCGGAAATGCGCGCTAGCGGCTCGGTCGTAGCTCAGTCGGTTCTCCTACCCTTTCCTATTTTAACACTAGGTGATGGAAGGAATTATAAGATAAATTCATTGACATAAAAAAAAACAATCTGGTCGCTGGTAAAGAAAAACAACATTCATTCTGGGCAATGTCTGTACCAGGGAAGTTACATTGATAAACAAGAAAGATTGTGAATAAATAAAAAAAATAGAAAGAACTTACAACTAAAGAAGAAGTGATACATAAAAATTATCCTATAACTACGATTACAAGTTTGGCCTTGAGGACTTTTCTGTGCCTTAGCGCGGCACCGCGTTGAAAATTGTCTTTAAGGGTTTATTGGCCCTGATTACGTTGCCTGGGGTACCTTCCGTGGCAGATGTGCTGCAGTGGGCCC